GAAATTACAGTTGTTAACATAATTAAATTGACGAACAGTGCAACTTAGCTTTCATTTGGCAAATTTATAAATCATAAAGACATAATAGTGGGTCCACGAAATGAGTGGATAATAAATGAGTAATAATTATGAATGTGTGGTTGAATTAATGCTTGACTTTGACTCAATTCATAAACCATTTATAAATTGGTTTCCATATGGAGGCTTATTCTCATACCTTTTCTGGTGTCCTCCTTGAGAAAGATATCCTCACACTTCCACAGCTCGTGACTACGTTGTGGAGAGAGTTTATCAATTGCTTTGCGAGGTCCGTGCTATATCTGCAGTACCCTATAAAAGTCATGGGAATATAACATTATCATATACTAAGTACAGCTATTTCTCAATTGGAAAGACATCTTAGAAACTGAAATATTTAAAAAAATAATTTGAAAAAGGAGTGGAAGTTTCACGTGACGAACAATAACAACGATTTCAGAACTTCATAAGCTGAAGCTAAAATGACAAGGTTTCGACATCATTATTATTTGTTCAAGGGATACAGATAATCAAAAGCCATATGTGATGATTAAACAAAAACCTAGAAACAGATGGTGGTGAATCCAGCCAAAAAAAATATCAAAGAGAACACATTACTGATAGGTCAAGTGGAATTGGAATAATGTTATAATTGAAGATGCAACTACATATCATTTCTTGGGGAGTACAATGAAGTCCATGTTGTGCCGGATGTCAGAAACAAAATAAACAAAAGAATTGTACCTTAAAATCTATAAAAGTTAAGTGGGTTGAGAGGGGAAACAATGTGAAAGATTGCAGATGCTTTTCAGATATTAAGAGTGTGCAAGGATAACATCTTTCCAATAATCCTAAACATCAAAGAAATGTAATCAAGGTGCAAAACATTTCCACTCTAAGTGAGACATCATTATTACTTCATTGAAAGCCTCATTAACCATTTTCCAGTCAAGATATTTATGATTCAGCTATAATATCAGCACAATTTAGTGTTTGTTTGGCCCCCATTTTCTGAAAATGAAAATGGGTGAAATAGTGTTTTTTTGAAAAATGAATAGTTGAAAAAGAAAGAAAAGTTTTCGATTCACGTGTAATATTATTTTATGGAAGATTGTGTGGTTGAAAATAGGAGAGAAAAAAATAGAATGTAATGTAATGAAATTTAATGGGGGCCAAACGAGGGCTTAAACTAGAGCAGAAAACATATACCAGTGAATACTCAAGCAATTTTACACTAAAAATGCAGAAGAACCATAAGCGAAAATGATAAGAATCCAACACCAGGATAGAGAAAGAACGATTACTTGTAGGCCCTCCAATGTTGACTACAAGCAACGGTTTTGGTAAGGGTGCAAACTCATCATGCCATGCATTAGCTGCACTACGAAGGGCAGCAGAATCTACATGATGAAGAGCTCCTACAGTAAGGACCTGAGGAATGTAAAGTGAGGATATGAAGCAATATAGATTAAGAATTTAGTGACACAGACGCTCGGTTTTGATTAGACTTGAACACATCAAATGGGATACATACAACATGCCCATCAGGAGGTTCACGTGGTGTTATATATCTCCGGAGAAACCGAGGAACCTGCTCCTGTGCACGAGGCGTCAAAGGATAGTAATCATGCTGTGGGGCAATCACCATATCAAACCTGTCCAAACGGGACCTTGGATGCTGAATCTGAAAAAGAAACAAGGGATAAAATGTCAAAAATCAATTTTCCCTACAAAAAGTCAAGCCCAGACACAGCACATGGCCAATGATATAATATAAAGATACATCAACTGAAACAATGAATTTTTAATACAAAAGGAAAACAAGTTTAAAAATAAAATCAAGAATACATCAAATTCTTCCAACCAAAAACACCTCAAGATAAAGGAATATTCTAAAACTCCTTATGTAGAAGCCAATAGAAAATGCAAAACTTGGTCTCTTCCATATATTGCCAAGTGGTAATTCTTTGTCTTCAAAACTTTTGCAGTCACTTTCTATGCGAAATGTCCTTTCCTTGCATATAATGCTATAAATAGTTAAGAACTAGACATTTTAAGGACATGGAATACTTTAATCAATACGAAATCATCCAATTTGAAAGTTGAAACCAATGAAAACAGAGGAGAGCTGGAACTCATGACTACTAATTAAAAATGATCTTATCAGGTTGTGCCCAATGTATGGAATGTCTAAAAGTATCTCGTGTCCATAAGTCATGGCGACACATCAAAACAGTTGTATGTGACTGGAAAGATAGCAAGAATGACAGCAATACTTTGTCCAACTGCATCATCACTCCCAAAAGACCTTTTAATTATAAAGAAAAAAGTAGAATGAGGAGCTTGTTGATGTTGTAATACTAATGGTACATCACCAGAGCTTCCTCTTGCAATATTCGTATTGCTTCCATTAACATCCAGATTTATGTTACCATTGCGTAATGGGATCAAATAATATTTCTGATTTGCATATATTGGGTTGAGTGACAAACCTGTACGACGAACACACTTTCAGATGCTAATCTTCTTATAGAGCTTGCAATTGAAATAGTATCTCTTCCAGATGCAACCACCAGTAATGGACCATCCCTGAACAGAGGTTAAAAGGTCCATTGTTATACATGAGAGTAAGATATGAAATGTACAAAATTTACATTCATATAAATATATCACCACTTAATTTAAGAACTGAAGCACAATTTTATTTTTATTTTTATTTTTATTTTTTTGCCAACATAAATATATTCACATTCAGATCCTTTTTGGTAACCAGATGTATTTTGACTTCATTTATTCATAAGGTCTAGTAAACCTTGAAAACGAAAAGGAAGGAATAAGTTATCTAGAGATAGCCTGAAATAGGTCTTCTGCATTCTTCATAAGTTTATATAACATCAACATAGCTCTGCCCTGTGTACTTTTGAAATCTTTAAATCTTTGGAAGTTTCCATCAACCTTTTTTCTAGTTGTAATTGCTTAAATATGTTCATACTGCAATATATCCACATTTTCTTTATATTTCAGATGTTGACAATGTGACAAAATGCTTCACTTGTTAAATACTTTACGAACCATATTCAGGGGAAAAACTGCAGTTTCATAAATAAAAATCTTGATTTATTGGAAGCCTCAAGGGTTATAACAGCGACATGAGATAACTTCTTTGTCATGTCTAGAAAATTTTGATATGAAAAAAAAAGGAGGATATTCTTGATGCAGACTTTTAACCATATTTCTCTTGATAACTCAAATATTGGGTTGATAAAATATGTTTGCAAAATTAGGAATTTGATTGCAAATTCGTGCCATTTTCATGTACTCTCAGGCACATGAGGCGAGCCACCATCATCAAAAGTTAACTATTTCCTTTTCTAATTCTTTAAAGTCGTAGTGTCATAACGATCATATTTCATAAAAATAGAAGGGAATTCTACACTTGAGATAGCTGTTTTTCTCATGTTCAGAAAATTTTGAAAAACATTAAAGATTGATGCAGATCATACCCTAGTAAGCACAAAATTTTACTTTGAGTCAGTCATTTATTTTGATAACTTAAATCTTGGGTCCTTATATTATTTTTGCAAATTTAAGAAAAGTCTGATTGCAAACATGTCCATGTCAAGTACTCAAGGGGTACAGGAGGCAAACCACCATCCTCAATAGTTCATTCATTGTTCTGAAAGTAATAACATCATAATGTTCATACTGATGTAAAAAGGATAGTTCTGCATAAGAGATGCCTTGCTAGACAATTCTGTCCAGAAATTTAGAGTGTAATGACATTAAGAGCAGACTTACTTCTCAGAAGTTTCTTTAGCCATCCTCACGATATTTTTTACATCAGCTTCCAATACAGATGATAGGCCGGCAGAATGACCATTCTCCGTAGGCAAAGGCACCAGTTTCTTTCCCCTTCCAGCCATCAGAATTCGAGAATAACTATAAATCAGGCTAATAATGTCATAAAACTTTTTGTGGACAGAAACAGGAAGCCAGTGTAGCCATTCATTGATTCCTCCTCTTGGTCTTGTAACCCGCTGTGTATGCCCAGATAAACAACATGACACAATCAGAGTGAAATAATTAACATCACAAGTATTCGTCCAAAACATTAGACTACTTAAGATGGAACTATCAGTAGCAAACAAGCGAAAAATCGGCTGGACCTTTACAAGAAAATCACATTTATAAAACAATTTATGCATGTCAAAAAACATGAATTTGATACATCCAAACTCTAATAACCGTTTCTAGAAATATCTCCTAATTAAATTAAAATATTCTGTGACAATTCTACTCTACCAGAGACCAGAGCGAGGACAAGCAAAACCAGTGCACACAGTAAGCAACAAAAGATTCTAAGAAAACCTCAGGATGCTTACACCAAAAGAATATTTTCTCTTGCTACAAGAATAGCTTCTTCTTCTTCACTTAGTTCTTGACATGTAACCTCAAGCAGAAAATTGAAGAAAAATATAACTGGTTTCAGACCTCACATATTTCCCATCTTTCCCAACTACACCTCTCTCAAACACAAGCACAGTTCATCGTCAATCTTCTTCAGCACAACAACACCATACAAACTCTTACAATTGTTCCTTGGCAACCATACAAGAAGGTATTTCAACTTTCTTTGATTATCTTCTCATTTTCCTATAATCGTATGCACTTTCCTGAATCAATATTTTCACATATAACTCACAGGAAAACTATAAGATCTTCGAGATCACTGGGGAAAAACTTCTCCAAACTCATGCTGACTAATGCCTAGTGTTCGACAAATGTTGCAATGCTGCTAAAATAATGGCCGAGCATATTTCAATTCTTCTTATTTGACGTATCCATGCAGAAAAACAGTATATCCAATGACTCAATAATTTTTAATTGCAGAACTTAACATCAACATACTAAACAGAAAAATCTATAAATATCATCCCCCAAAACACTCCAACTGAATTAGCAAAATAAAAAAAATCCATAAACCCAATACACATAAATTCAATTCATTATTTCCCAGCTCCCCACTGCTTAATAATCACACTCCACAACATATAAAACATTAAAAGCTCAAAAACAAAACATCATAAGTGCAACTCAAAATTTCCCAAATCTTCACTGAATATTGAACAAAACCCACAAGAAAAGAACATAAAAGGGTAATCAGATTCAATACTTACATAAAGAGTTTGCTTTTCCGTCAGCCCTAGGGCGCGTACCAAGCCGATGCTCTGGTTTTCGGTAGCCGGGTATCCATTACCAATAATGACGGCTCGTCGGATGACGCCATAAACCCCGCCCTCGAATATATCAGGAACTCCACCCAATGATGGCGGACTCCCCGGTGGCTCCGGCAGCCTTATGGGCTTCATCAATATATACAAGAAATGTATATTAAAGACTATTTATAGACGTTTACTTTTGGGAATTCAACTAAAACCCTAGAATTTTCAATTGGGATTAATCGAAATTATATGCGAGTGATTATGTATGTACATGTACGTATAGTTGGACAAGTTGAGATTTGTACCAGGCGGTGTGCTGACTTGAGATAA